CAATTCTGCAAGTAGTGCTTCTTCTGAACGAGGATTTAGCATTGCTGGAAGGTTTTTAGAATAAAGAAAAACGTGTTTGAATCCAAAAAATGTCGATTCATTATTATTTTTGTTTTATAATTATATATAATATCAATTTTATATTTATATATAATATCAATTTTATATTTATTTCATAAATATTCTATTTGATCAAATAACTTGTTCATAATTTATATGCTTAAATTAATTTCCTAAATTATAAACTTTATGTAAAAAGGTGTAATGCTCAAATATTTTTATTAGATGTTTAAAAAATTGAAAGAATGGCCAATATTAAATTTATAAGTGGACGTTAAAATTTTTTATAAATAATGGGCGGGCGGGTAAAAATTTTTAGACTAATGGGCTGGTGGGTAAGGAATTTTAGACAAATGGGCGGGGCGGGCGGGTATATATTTTTTAAAAAACTTTGGGCGGGTTGGGCGGGTAGGTTAAATTTTTTTAAACATTGGGTGGGCGGGCTTTTGGTCCAAAAACCCCACCAATGCAGACCTCTACATCCCACAATGTAGGGCGAAGATCTGATATCGTCTAGTATACTAATATATTAGGCAAACGCTTGATATAGGCTAGTGAATTTATTTTACTGGTAAATTTATTAAATAACAGATGCACTCTCATTGTAATATATTGCTGTTTTTATTATATGAATTTATAACGCATGTTCATTTAAATAGTATTTTATACATATACCTATATTTGTATCTTCTATATATTATCTCCGTGATCTATATACTATGCCTAATTTAAAACAGACACCTTAATTTTTTTTCGTGTATCAATATTTTTAAAATTTAAAAAAAATTTTAATGAGATTTTATGCCATTATAGTACAACTTTAAAAATTTATTACTCCATCCATTTCAGAATAATAACAAGATTAAAAAGTGGGGCGTGATTTAATAAAAAGCAATCAGAGGAAACATAATGGTTTAGTGATGTTTCTAGCAAATCCATATGTAATTATAATGTTACTTAAATAATACAAAAAATTTTGTTTAATTTGTTCATTCTACTGGTATCGAATGAGTTGCTGAAAGCGTTGAAAGACGGCATTCATGCATAAAACAAAAACATAATTACCATTTCATATTATTATGTCTCATGTTCATTTCTGCTTTGAATTTAAAAATTCTCCCCTCACTTGCCATGTTAGGATAATTTATTATTATTAAAATATAACATAATTGGAAATTTTTTAAAATATTTCTTCTTTGAATTTTAATTTTTTGGATATCAATATAATTAATTCCTTGTAGGTTTTAACCTGGTCTAACGGGAAGAACTTAAATTGCAGGATCGGGATTAAAATATCTACTTCTGCAACCTGCTATATGTAACGGTATTTAATATTCATCAAAAAATAATACTTTAAAAGAAAGCGCCCTCTATATTTGGTTTTTAATTCCTAAAATTATGAAAACAAAATATTTAATTCTATTTCTTTCATTATAATTTAAATATATTCATCGTTCTAAAGTGAAGCTAGTTCAAAAAACTAATTTTGTTTCACATGAAAACACCGAAACTGAAGAATAATTTTTAAATTTTTTTTCATATTTCTTTAAAAAAAGAATCGCAAGAGTTACAAAATGATATATAATTTATACGTTTGGACTAAATATTTATCGAGATTTGAGATTATTCAAACCGAAATTGCACGATTGAACTTTGAGAGCCCATAACTCCGGATAAGATAGAGCTTTAAAACTTTGATAATTTACCTCATATAATCATACGAGATTTCATTTTTTTTGTAAGATGGTCAATTTCGTTTGAACGATTTGTGATCGATAGAATAACCTAAAAATATGGTTTTCGGCAATACATTTGCAGTAATGAGTTAACGGAAAAATCAATTTGCGATAATTAATTCGGAGAAATATCTTTCGCGAAAAAGGTTTTACGCCTAGCAATATAGAAATCTTATTTCTTTCTAATTATTCGCTTCCAGGAAAAGAAATAATTGAAGCTATGCTAATGATACAAATGCAAGAAAGGCATCTGACAAAGAAGTGGTATTAAGGGGAGCCTTATGTCAAATTTGAGTGAGGGGGTTGGTTTGATGAATAGTTGGTGTATGTATTTTATTACCGCGAATACTTATAAAAATGACGCCTACTTGATTAAATTTTTAGACTTGTTTGATCTAGTTTTATAATTTTATTCGATTAAAATAATTCCTCTTAAATTCCTTTTATATAATTTTATAATAATAAAATCTCACATTAAAGGTTTATTATGATCATTATGCTCAAACTCAAAATTAAGAGCTGATAAATTTCAAAAATCAAATACATGATTATCACTGTTTTTCTCTTTATTTTAAATAAGGTATTTCAAGGGAGGGGGTCCCCATTAGTGATCTGCATCGGGCCTAATTTTTCAAGCCCGGCCCGGCCTAAAATTTATTTTTTAAAGTTTTGCCCGGCCCGAACCCGATTTTTTTAAAAATTTTGCCGGCCCGGCCGAATTTATTTAAATATAGAAATTAAATTTTATAATTACTTAAAATAAACGATATATGTTATTTGGCGTCTACTTTCTATAAATAAAATCACATATTTATTTTACATAAAAAATTCAACATAAAATTGATAAATTTAGATATATTTTAAAAAATTTATAAGGCACGACCCGACCCGAATTTTCTTAAAAAATATTAAGCCCAACTCAGGTTTGGGCCGGGTCGGGTTTACTTTGGCAAATCTCTAGTCCCCATTGTAAAAGTTTTCAAATTAACCAAAACCCTACATTTTTACATGCATGAACAACCTGATAAAAGATGCCCACATTCCCAAAAAATATGTCAAAATCCTTTAAACCCTTCTGATAAAATATCAATTCAACCTAATAACACCCACAAGCAGAGTACTGACAACTTTTCAGACAATTCATATATGGAAAAATGGTTCCCACCATGCCTTCCTAAAGGGAGCAGAAATTTACTCACCAATTTTATACTCAAATTTTTTTCTAATGTAAACAATGAATAAAATTATGGGACAATCTATTAACTTTCCCTACAAAAAATGCCTTACCCCTCCCAAATTCAATAACATTTTCCTATTTGATCACATTAAAAAAATTTGGAAAATTTTTATTTCTTTCTCGTGATTGATTACAAACCTAAAAGCCATAATGGTAATAATGATAACAATCTACCTCATCGATGCAATAAAATATTTTAAAAAAAATAAAGGTTACCTAAATGGGGCTCTCAAATTAACATCCATTGAAAATAAAAGTTCTACAAAATGAGGACACTTTATTGTTGATATGCAATCTCTTTTCTGCAAGGTATACATTACCCAATTTAACATCGACACACTCAATTACCATATTCAATGAGGAAATTATTCAGTCCATACCTTCAAGAAATTTTCTGCAGCAGAGCTTGATGGTTTTCGTCCTTCTCATTTACAATTTCTCATAAAATCTAACATACACCTCAAAGAATCTTTTTTAAATGTTTTTAAATAATCCTTTAAACAAAGACTTCCCTGTACAGATTCATCGAATCCTTTATGGAGCTAACCTTATTGCTTTATAAAAACTCAGTGGAGGTATTCAACCCATCGCAATCGGTTCTACATTTAAGAAATTACTAGCAAAAATTTTAATGACACGGGTCAAAACCAAGGCGTTATTTTACTAAACACATATCAATTAGGTTTCGGAGTCAAGAGAGGCTGCGAAATAGTCTCACATGCCATTCGTAATATGTATCCAAAATCATCCACTATAATTGTTTAAGCCAATTTTTAGCCGGCTAAAAAATCGGCTAAACCGAGTTGTTAGCCGAAACTATCACTTTGATCTCGTTATTTTTCTTAAAAATATGGTAGCTCAAATTTGAAAGAAACTAATATGAATTAAAACGCCTTAAGGTTAACAAATTTTATCCGCAATGCACCTGTAGATTGAGCCAAATAAGCTGACTTTAGGCATTACCCAATATACTCCTAACCCCTCATTCATAGTTAGCTGGTGGCGATTATCCAAAATGTGCTGTATTTTCGCATCCATCGCAGAGAATTCGCGCTAACTGTGAATGCCACATGCTGTATTTTTGTGTATTTTATATAATTCCCCAGGAATTCGAGCTAACTTTGAATGCAGGGTAACATTGCAATTGTCACGCTTGATTTTACAAATGCCTTTAATAGCATATTTCGCAAACATTTCTTAAATTTTTTTAATCACAAATTCCCAAATTATCCAAACATGTTATGGTATTAAAACTCCTCTTATATTAAGTCCATATATCACAGATCCGACGAAGTATCCAGCTGGGAGACTCACTCGGACCTCCTATTCTATTTTGGTATCCACGACCTTATCTATGACCTTAAATCACTAATCAAACGTTACATGATATACTCTAGTATGCCAGGAAAAACCAGTCCATTTGGATAAATTGGAGTGAATGAAAATGAGTGTTATGGTATATGAGTACTATTTTTCTTAAGGACAAGAATATGCAATGTTTTTATAAGAAAGAAAATAAATATGAAGGAAGTTCGATATGGTTTGATTATGTGGAACAAAAAAGCCTGTGATGTGGGTTAGACTACCGAAAAAGACACAGAAAAGAGCAACTTATGATGATTTCATTTATTTTCAAACTGGTAGACATTAATGAGCTGAATATTGGTTAAATCTCATGGCCAACCCAAGAATCTCGGAATACCGCCTAAGATTATAACATTGATGTGATTATTCAAATTGTGATAATAACTAAAGAAAATAAGCATAAGTTTAAATATATTCGTTAAAATTGAATTTTGAAAATCTTGTCTTTTCCAATACCCTTCGTGTCAATTATCCAATTATATAGAACTGAGCATTTATTAAGTTTAACAAAAATAATCAGGGAAAATATACATATAAGATATTCATATATAATTTTCAAGCCAATATTATATTAAAAAAAAAATAAAAATAAGTAAGCATACTTTGTTGAGTAATTTGGTTTGAATCAAGGTCCGGATACAGCTTGAAATTAATGTCTTCGAGAAAAAGGCTCATTTTAACAGTGATAACCTCATTGTCTATAGCATGTTTCAGTGATGGTTTATCTGGAGTTAGCGTAATAACTCGGTCATTAAGACTACATCATTGACACATAAAAAATATAGAAATTTAAGAATGTTGTGTGTTTAAAACCCAACGTTGACTTCGCTGCACTCTCTCCCTAAAACTTTATTTCAGAGATTATGATTCGACGGTTACACGTTTTAGCGCAGAGAAATAAATGTTGGGTATAATTATTTTTTGTTTATATGTCGTAACGGGATACTCCCATAGTATTCGCAATTCCAAAATGAGGATAGGTAATCTAAATCCCAAGTTTTTTTCGGAATTTTTTGAAAAATAATAAGATTTGGAATAATTATAAACAAGGCATTTTATAGTGATCACTCGTTAGTCGTTATTCATTCAATAAAAATCATAAAAATATATAGAGCCTTCAATTTTGAACGAACAAATTGAAAATTATTATAGCTTTATAAAACAAATTTTATAACGTGGGGATTCACGATTCATAATCCTTACGTTGGGATTCCAAATCCTAAAATATTCCTAACCCGTTAAAATATCGAACCGAAAACATAAACTCGTTTGGGCAACTGTTGCCAGCGAGTTAATAATAACTAACTAAGCATACCGTCGTTATTAAATTGTTGAATCCATTTTTTTGTTAATTTACAGGAACGATTTTAGAGAAAAATTTGAATTTTATAAAATAATTTTTTTGATATAATATATTAGAATGCTGGACTTTCGAATATATATCAGAGACCTGCAGGTCCAGCCCGGGTACATGGGTCAAGCCATATTTTAATTTTTTTTAATATACCCGGGCCGGGCTTGAAATTTATTCTAAAAAAAATACTCGGACCGTATATTTAAAAATTAAATATTTTAAATCGCCATTATTAGATATAAAAATTAAAAATAAATATATATCTTAAAAAATTCCGGGCTGGGCCTGAAAATATAAAACCTGGGCCGGGCCGAAAATATTTTCCGAAAATTTTTTAAAATAAAAAAAAAATCGGGCTGGGCCGTGCAAATAGTACCTCTGCAGGTCTCTGATAAAAATACTCCTGATATTAAATACACGGATAAAAACCCCTAACTCCTAACTTTTTTATTTGCTACATAAATTTTATTATCTTCAAATTTTTTATTTTTTATGAATCATGGTTTCTTACATCTTTATAGGCAGGGCAGTATCGTGGATATTTATATTTAAGTTACAAGATACTTTTTTATCTTGTCTCTTTATTAACTTTTCAAAAGATCTTGTATCTAGGATACAAATAATTTAAAAATATCTGTATTTTAATCAACTTAGCAAAATAAGATACAGATATTAAAAAAAATGATATTATTTAATTTAAATAGTAATAAAATTGAAATTAAAAAATTAATCCAAGTTTATATATTTTAAGATAGGGAAATAATATATGACGTTGGTCGTCATATAGTAATTTGCTAAACAACTACCATATTTTATATAAATCGCAATACATCCATCATTACTCAAAAAATTATGATATTGAAGATATAATTATAGAATCGGAATGTGAAAATAATGATACTACACAAGGAGAATACAATTTCAATAGAAGATTTTTTAAAATTACCCAACATGAACATACCAATAATAAAATTACTGCAGAGTATCAATGTTACAAACTTATATGTGTCTCTACAGTCAAGCATTTAAAAGCATATTGTATCATTTTATTAACACATATATAATGATATTCAGTTTATATTTTTAATGTTTTTATTTTTATATTAATGATTGATGTAAAAAATCATCTAGAATTAAAAAAAATATTAAAAATAAAAGATTAGTAAAAAAAATCGAATCTAAATTTCATTTTTTTTGTTAAGTTATTTTGAATAACTCTTCATCTTTGTTTTTGATAACTGTTTAGAGCATTTCATCACCATACTTCAAGACATGTATATCATTAAAAATACCTTCTCCCAATCTCATATGAAAATTATATGATTCTTTAAAAAGTATTTCAAAAAATATAAAGAAATTGTGAAAAGTGCAAAAACATTAACTGCATTATTCGCGTTTTGAAACGCTGCGTTGAAACGTTCAATTTGTGTGCAATATTAGAGTTTTAAAATAATAAAAAGAAAACAATATCTCAGGGAAAAATTAATAATGTATTATTACCTATAGTTGAACAAAAAAATTTGCAAAAATGTAATTTTTATAGTTCTCTCTTATCTTCTATTTGTCAATTTACATTAAAAAAAATTTCTCGAAGATTATTGCTAAGAAAAATTGGTGAACGATTTAAAAAAGATTGAAAGATCAGACATATATTTGCACTACTGCAGATATTTGTTATACTACTATTAAAGTTTTAAAAAAGGTACCTTTTATCTTAGATAATTTTTTTCAAATAATATGCAAGTAGTGTTGCCAAGCGGCTCATTTTGAGGCGATTTTAAAGGCTTATTCAATATTTGAGCCAGAAAGATATTGCCTAAACCTTAAGATTTCGTTAATAAATGTTCAAAACTTTGTGCCATTCCATCCATGAGCAAAATCTTAAGGCTTCTTGATAAAATATTGAATTAGCCGTTTTTAAAAATCAACTCAAAACGAGCCGCTTATCAACACTAGATACAAGTATCTTGTATCCTTTTGAAATTTTTGCTAAGTATCTAGTGCTTTTAAATACAAAATTTTATGTATCTATATCCAAATACAATTTTCTGAAAAACTGCCCAACCCTGATTATAGGGAACAAATTATATGCATCTAAATCGATGCAGTTCTTTTTAATATGATTTTAAAGTTTAATTATTTTCAGCTTTATAATTGTATTCAGTTTAATAATTATATTCACAGGTTAATAATTATATTCATAGTTTTTAAATTATTTTCATTTTTTTAAAAAATAAATGCTCAGTTTTATAATTATTTTTATAGATTTTTAATTATTTGTAATTTTATTAATTTTATTAGACATCAAATCCATTACATTCGACAATATTAACCGCAGCAATCTCTAAGTTTCTATTCATTTTTACCGAACTACGCTGTTAAGGTTAAGTCCTAATATCAAGCTCGTAAACCGCGTTAGCTGTTAGGCTAATAATCAAAGATAAGGGTTAGTGTTTATATCAGATTCTGGGAACGTGGATCTTATTAGCGCTATGCAAGAAAAATGAGGGTAATATTTATATTAAGGAGAAATATTAATTTTGTTAGATACCAAACCCACTATATTAGATAAAATCTAACAAAAACTGAAAAATATTTTTATTTGAAACTGTGAAAACATGAATTCAAATTCAACAAATTGATTTAAAAAGTGTAAAATTAATTATAATAAAAATGTGAAACTAATTATTTAAAACAATGAATTGAATTTCGATTATTTTCCTCTGCAATTAAATAGTATTCTATATTATATATCTTTATGTAATATTTTTTTTACTACGTATAATTTAAAAATTTTCCTTTAAAATTATTTTAAAAGATTAATATTAGATTTAGGGCATATTCTATGATTAGATTTATATTTTTTAATATAAAAAGATTATTTATAAATCATTTGATGTCATAAATTTTACAAAAATAATATTCTAAAAAAATACTTGGTACATTGAAAAAAAATCGAAAGTAAAGACCATTGTTTTAAATACAGAATAACCGAAGATATTAAAGGACTGAATTTATTAGGTTTGTAAAATAAAAAATTTAAATGAAATAAGATTGCTAAATAGAGTTTTAGGAGGTGGTGAGATGTATTGGCGATCGGAATCTATCCAAATAAATGTTTTATCCGTCAATAAAGAATATGATATAGTTAGCTCAGATTACATTAATTGCGAATCTTTGTCAAAAATAAACACCTTCGTTTGGATTTTCACCCTTAGATGTAATACGATACCCTAGATCCTTTTAGAAGCCTAGTGCAAGTGTAAAAAGTTAGCGTTATAACTAAGATAGGTAAAAATAGATGGGTGGAAAGCAATGCTGAAGAATATTTGGCAGATTTGCTCCGTTCTACGTCTAAATAACCATATTTTAATTAAATTTATTTTAATATTACAAACTAACAAATTGTGTAAAAAAAATTTCAGATTGGAATTTAGAAAATATTTTCCTAGATTACGAAAAGATAAGATTAAAAGAGAAGTCCAATCAAAAAATGAGAAACTTCCGATCAAAAAAGGGAAATAATAATTTATTATTTTCTAAAATTGAAATTTTTTATTTTCTAATTGTGATTTTAGAAACATATTGCAATGCCATTTTTTCTTTAATTTTTTGTTATATTTAATTTTTTTCCTCAGCTTGATCATTCTTTTTGTATTTTTTGCTTAGATTATTTGATTCTTTTAAAAACTATTACTTTTCTCGCTTTTTATCCTCCTTTTTGATTTTTATTATTACCCTTTTTTAATTCTTTTAGTAATTTTATTTTTAAAAATATCTCAAATTACAAATTCTCTCCATTATTTGTCATCTTTCTATTTTTCTCACATATTAAATTTTTTTAAAAACTTATTCTCATTTTTTTGCATATTTTTCTGTATATATTTTCATTATGAAATAAATAAAGTGAATAGTTTCTATTAAACCCTTATTGACAAATATTATGCTTTCACTACTAGGAATCATGCGTCTAGAGATCAGTGAAAATTTAATTAAGGATTTAAATTATTCAAAATAATATTGTTAACCGAAATCTACTTGTTGAATATGTTGATCGATGTTATTTTATAATTTATTTTGGCAATTGATTTATTTTATATTACATCAATTTGTATTTAAATTTAATCGGTGAAAATTTTGTATTAACATTTTTTTTATACATCAATTTGTATCAGTTATTTTTTTTATTATTGTTAAAAAAAAGATATATAAAGAGATAAAAAAATGTAATTGATCTTGTTAATATGACCGATTAATACTAACCTTTAAATTGTTTTTTTTATGTTGATATAAATTGATAGATTGATTTTTTTTATATAAATTTTGTTATTTAAGGCAGATTTTTTTTAGTTTAACAAAAATGTAAAATTTTAAAATATATTGTATAAAATTAAATTATTTATTTAAATAAACGATTTTTATATTTAGAAAACGCGTATCATCACTTCAAATATACTAAAATACTTTATGGTGGCAGCGGTGGGATATGGAGACCAGGAACGACAAAATTTACAATCCAATTACGATAACAGACAACGATGGAAAACAAGAGGCCATGACTTTCAATAAATATTTATCAAGGAAACAGTTATAACCCCAGATATCAAGGAAATAATTACAACCCTAGATATCAGAATTATAACGCGAATTATTACAACAACGTCAGAGCAAACTATCCAGGATCGTACAATAATTCTTCGAGATTTGATAATTGAGCTAGTTATAATAAAAATGACTATAATAATAATAGATTTAATAATCATTATAATTACAGATATAACAGACATTATAACGATTCAAGATGCATTCAAAGTTATAACGATAATCATAATATTGGAAATCGAGGTACAAATCAAGTATGCAATTGTAAATATCATAACAACGACAGTAATCAATCACGATATACAAATAAAGTAAACACTGTAAATATAGAAGAGATAAAAGAAGATGATAATGACAAACTAGAAAGAAAAGAATATAATTTATACAATTTAGACATAAACAATATGGATACCGATAATAATTACACAGCTAACGATGCTTATAAGGTCACGGTATATTTGAACGACATGCCTATTTTGATGCAGATTGATACCGGCTCGAGGTATAGTATTCTACCGATTCATATCGCGAAAAAGATTGGAGTAAAAATCTTAAATAAATCAGATATTAAATTAACTGGATATGATGGAAACACAATAAATGTATTAGGAACTACCAAAGTCAAGGCAAAATTCGAGGACAAAAGTCAAATCTTAACTGCTTATGTAGTCCAGAGTGATAAGATTGCATTGTTAGGAAGGACCTGGATAACAGTTTTTGGGAATATACTAGATAAATTTGTGAATATTGTCGAGGATGATTATGATAATACCATACAAGAATTAATCAAGCAATGTAATTTTGTAAATATAATCGAGGAAAATAGAATAGTAGATAGTAAAAATTATGAAGGTACATATTACAATAAAAAGCATGAAAATTATAATTATAAATATCATAATAAAAAAAACTTGAATAAAATTGAATTATGTAAATTAATACTAAATGTTAAAAAAGAAATAAATTCTTATAAATTAGAATAAATAAATCATTTGATAACAATTGGAGAAATAATAGTTATTAAAAACAATAATGAAATAAAAATTGAAGAAAATAATAAAATAAATATTTTTATAATTAATAAAAAATTTAAAAAAACTTTGGAAAAGAAAATTAAAACAAAGGTGATTAAATATCGTGATGTTGAAAGAGAGATTAGGAGTACGATATGGAGATCGTATGTTGAAAATGGAAGGAATTTTGTTATAAAGAACAAGTTAAAGAGAAATTATGATATAAAAAAAGTGTTTAAATTGAAAAATAAAGGAGTAAAATTTAAAAATAAAAATAATAAATAAAAAAAATTATTATTATATTTAACGAAACAATTCCAAATATTCTATTATGATTCTTATTCTTATGAATGATTCTGATAAATTATTTATTCCATTATCATTTCAATTATTCCAAAATTATTTTATTTAAGATATATTGATCATAATATATATTTACAAACATTGATAAAAATGATAATAAATAACGAGATGAACCAGCTAGTGTGAAGATGATGTTCAAGCGAATGATTAGGTGATAAGGATACAAGCAAAAATTAATGAAAAGATAGACTGAGGCTAAACAACAACAAAATATCAAATGAAAATTCTACAAAGGAGAAAAAATTTTTAGAGGTGGAAGAAGTGAACAAGTTCAAGATTCTAAAATTCAAAGTCAAGTTCAAAAGCGAGAATATGACATACGACATAGAAAATGATTGTTATGAATAAATTAAATTTTGTAAAAAAAATATATATATAAAATTTTGAAAGAGAAATGGGATGATCAATACAAACAGCAAATCAACAAGCAATGTTCAACTAACGACGTTTCAACAATGATGCTCAACCAACGATGTTTCATGATGTTCGATAATCGATTCAACAAACGATAATCAGATGGTCAAACAAACAATCTAAAGATATACGAACAAATGACTAATGGAGCAATTGAGAAACATGACTGAAGTGACGATAAGATTCACATGTAAGAAAAACCTGAGTGGAGATCATTTTTTTAAAGGGTTGAATGTTAATATGACCGATTATTACTAACCTTTAAATTGTTTTTTTTATGTTGATATAAATTGATTTTTTTATAAATTGATAGATTGATTTTTTTTATATAAATTTTGATATATTTTGTTATATAAGGCAGATTTTTTTTAGTTTAACAAAAATGTAAAATTTTAAAATATATTGTATAAAATTAAATTATTTATTTAAATAAACGATTTTTATATTTAGAAAACGCGTATCATCACTTCAAATATACTAAAATACTTTAGAAAAATAAAAATGTAATTTATCATATAATAAAATTAAAATTATGATTTAAAATAAAATGATAATCAATGAAAAATGTGTAATAATTATTTATGATAAAACATGGAAATAATCCAATTCCAACACTACTGAAAAATTCATATTCGATAATAATATTACAGTATGGAATAGTCTAAGTTCCAATAGAAAATATTTGGGGAATCACGAGATTAGAAGAAGAATCAACCTAACTAGCAAAGAAGGATAATAAAATAAAAGAATTGGATAAATTTCCCAAAAGAAATATGTAGAACTGATACTCACTAAAACAAGCAGTTATTCGTGTGAAGACAAATATTAATCGATTTTAGCATAAATTTGATATTATAGATAACTTTTTGATTTAAAAAATTAATATAAATTTTCATTTTTATATAGCTAATATTATATATATTATAAATAATAAATTAAAATAATCTTTCCAACATTTTTTGGAGAATTATTAGCGTTGGGTAGAGATACAAATAAATAAGTGTAACTTTTCCCCATCATCCAGCTTCTTATTCGTTAAGGAATTAATACAATCGGTTAGATCGGAAAGATTATCTATGATCATGTTGAGGCAGGTGTATGTGGCATGAGAGAGATGAATCTCCAAAGCGTCATCTTGCGGATTTAACTGAGAAGCTACTCGACACAAGGCCCGATAATCAAAATAAGCCAGATCGGGATCGCCGCAGAATTTCTGGCCAACTTCATTCTCGGTCCGAGTTAGAGGGTAGTGGTGGCGGTTATCCACTTTCGTGCCTCAAGTAGGGTTTAAATAAAGGAAAAGATATTGAAACGAATATCAGATAAAAATAATTGGTTATGACAGATAATTGTTTTAAAGAAGAAGAAACACTTTAAAAAAATATATGAAAAAATAAATATAAAAGGAGGGTTGATCACATAAATTTAAATTTCATCACTTGATTATTATAAGATTTTAACTTCATTTCGATTAATTATAAAAGAATGTGATTTAAAACTACTCCATGTAAGCGAATAAGCTTACATAATTCAATAATTAATAACTATGTTTTATTTTATTAATCTATATGGGTGATTCCACGAATCGATCAAAAAAACGAGATTTTCGGCCGACCTTCATAAAAATGAATGAAATGTTAGTTATTTATGTTGTAAATGTTAAGAGAATCAAAATTTTAAAGTGATAGCTCAACCAAATCCAAAGATATACGCCTTCAAAGTCGAAAATCGCGAAGTGCGTGATTTCTTTAAATTGTGTTTTTTAAAAAAATACTTAAGATAGAGTTACAAATTATATATCATTTTATAGCCCTTAAAATTTTACGTTGGAAAATATAAAAAAAAATTAAAAAATTTCTAGTGTTCTCTTATTTCTGGTAAAAATAAATAATTTACATTGTTAGGAAGAGATTTTTTTGGGTGTTAATATTCACTAAAAATGTTTATTACCCTTATATAAAACGATTTAATAAAAAATCTCGATAGCCATTTTTTTTTTAATTTTATTTGAATTTTTATTATTTTTATAAATATAAAAATGTAATATAGATGGTATATTAAAATATTTTTATAATATATAATTTTTAATAAAAATATGAATAGTATTATGATTAAAATTAAAAAATCAATTGAGTATAACCTAGAATGATGTCCTGGGGCGATATGTAAGCAGGCAGCCCATACAAATATTATTTTATTTGGACGCTATATTGTAAAATAAACATATTTTAAAATTTTATACACAAACAATTATAAAAAAAAATACCACTTGTTTTAATCTTATCCCATTTGGTTCTTATTAATAGAATTTCTTGAGACGATAATTTGTAGATACGTCCTATCACTGTAATAGGATCTACTATTGTTATTATTTGATTATATCTTTTCCTCAATTGTGGGGTAAAAGAAGGATGGTGATGGTCCATGGGGATGTAAAAAGGAAATATTCCTCAGTAATTTCATTCTTTTTTAGTACTGTGGCTAACCACCAAAAATCGTCATAAACACATGTTATGAATCCTTTAATATCGGCAAAAAACAAATTATCGGCAAAAGGCAAATTATCTGCATTTGAGATACTGTTAATTTGAAAGTCCTCTGCATATGAATATATTTTTGATTTAAGCTTACTTAAACTCAAAGGAAATACAGCATGTATTTCCCGAGTTCCTGGAATGGGACGTGCTAAACTGAATCTTTTTCGAAGTTTAATCTATTGTTATGTTCGTTTGTTATATACGTAAAATTTGCTGATGTCATGTTTTGTTTCGCAAATTGATATAAATCAATTGGCGTTAAAATGTGGCCAGAACTGATGCGCTGAAGGCTTGAACGTGCTGCTAATCTTTTTAATGTTCTGCCAAGGCAGTCACATGGACCTTTTCCATGGGATGTAGCTGAAAAATGCCATTCAGCTGCTGTAAAATCTGATTCATGATAACACAGATTTATAAAAAATATTCTGTTTTTATATTGGGCAGATAAATTTTGAGGAAAGTAGACCCCTCTCAAAATTTATAGACACTCATTATAGCTGAAATTTATGATCCGTCAGAGCAGTAATATATTTTGTTTGGCTTTTTGTTGAATTATTGGTCAAAAACTTTATCATTTTAGTCTGGTATAAATGTAATGCAATAACATCATGTTGAAGTGACTCTGATATTACCACATATAAGGTTTTCTATATTGCCATTATTATAATAATATGCTATCAAAAAAAAATAAAAATTCTTGAGAAGATTTTGTTATTGTTTCTAGATTACTTCTATCAACAGATACCCACTGTTTAAAGGATATATGATCTATGTCATTTTGGGTAAATACATCATTTAATTTTTCTTTAATTGAGAATAAGCCTGGACAATAGTTACAATCTCCTAAATAACAAATAGGGAGGGCTGGATTGCATATCGCTTGGGCTAAAATATTTTTATAGTTATGTAATGGATATTCTGGCCTAGCTAATAGTTTTGCCAAATTAGCATCTACAAACATAAGCTTAAAATTTTGATGAATTACACAAACACACATACTGTGTGTTCCACTTGATCCAGCCAGAATACAATTTTTTGGCCGTAAATCTGCAAATTTAGAAAATACAACTTTAATTATCGGGTGCATCTCTTTAAATCGTTCATATAATTCTTTTAAATGGTTTTAAATTAATCTTTTTTGAGACTGCTCCTTTTCCCTATGATTATTATGGATTTATAGTCCTTTTTCCCGGGCATCGCGCGGCTAACTTCATCAGAGGAGTAAAAATTTTCTATAATATTTACAGTTTCCTGATCAATTGTTCGCCCAGGTTTTATATTGGGGGATGACATAAATCGTTTTGATTCAATTAGTTTTTTAGATTTTCTCACCAAGTAATTCGTGGCTTTGAACTCCATCTGAATTTTTTGATAGGTCCAAGTTGGAGGCAGCATAGTAAAAAGTTGATATTTTTTTTCCTTAGAAATAATTGGATAGTTATCTTTTAAATTTAGAAGAAGTTCCTCATTTTTATTATTTTGTATATCAGACTCAGGAAGGTTGCTTCTAAATATGGTTTGACATTACTTTTGTTATTTCTTTAAGTTTTTCTTTCGGATATTTCTTTTCTTTTTTATTGGGGATTGGCCCAATTCTTCTAGCGATACATTTATTATATCCAACGTTGAACTGGATGGGGCTGGTTCGGGCTCTTCATTTTCAGATGTATCCTCAATTAATTCCTTATTTATAAGCGACATGAATGACATAATGATTGATCTATTGTTAATAGACCTTTAGATTTTTTAATCATGCTTAGGGTCACCTAGTTATATATTTAAAATAATCACGATATCCAAAAATAAAAAAATATATATTGTCAAATCCAGAATCTAAAATGAAAAATGTTTTAATCCATAATCTAAATAAACTTACCTTTTGTAGATTTTTTGAAAAAGATTTGTGGCCCTCTCTAAAAAAAAGATTGGTACAAAGCAACTTCATTATTACAATTTTTAATGCTAAATTTAAAAAAAAATTTTAAAGTTAAAAAGAAATATTATTTTAAACCTTATGTTCTTTTCAATCATTGATTGATAATTAAATTTTTCTATTTATCGATTAAAAAATGTAATAGAAAGAAAGGAAAAAAAAAAATAAACTGATAAAATCTTAAATTACAAATAATAACGATAGTAGATCCACAAAAATGAAAGGATATATCTACAAATTATGGCTTTATGTATTTCTATTAATAAGCGCAAAATTATAATAGTTTGAATATAAAATTTTAAAATATGTTTATTTACAATATAGCGTCAATAAAATAATATCTGTATGGGCTGCCTGCTTACATATCGCCCCAGGACATCATTCTTGGTTATACTCAATTGATTTTTTAATTTTAATCAGAATATTATTCATATTTTTATTAAAAATTATATATTAAAAAAATATTTTAATATAACGCCATCTATATTATATTTTTTTATTTATAAAAATAATAAAAATTCAAATAAAATTAAAAAAACAAAAATGGCTATCGAGATTTTTTATTAAATCGTTTAATATAAGGGTAATAAACATTTTTAGTGAATATTAACACCCAAAAAAATCTCTTCATAACAATGTTAATTTTTTATTTTTACCGGAAATAAGAAAACACTTGAAATTTTTTAATTTTTTTTTATATTTTCCAACGTAAAATTTTAAATATAATTTGTAACTTTATCTTAAGTATTTTTTTAAAAAAACACGATTTAAAGGAATCACACAAAATCACGAACCGCGATTTTCGACTTTGAAGGCGTATATCTTTGGATCTGGTTGAGCTAGCACTCTAAAATTTTGATTTTCTTAACATTTACAACATAAACAACTAGCATGCAAAGTTATATTCATTTTTGAGATGGTCGGCCGAATCATTGGTAGATTTGTCATGGAATTACCATTTTTGATATAACAAATGATCTAATTTGAATGCACATAAAATATTAGTAATATACAAAATCTAATATTCAAAGTTAATAATACCCCTCTCGTGCTTAAATTTGCTTGGCATGGTTTGCAAACTTTAAATAATATACCCTTAAAATATTTATTTTTTGCGTAATACGAAAATTGTAATTCTCAATAAAAAAAATACTTTCCTGCCCAGGCACTAGCAGAAAATAAAAAAAAAGTCAGTTTAGGCACCACCAAATTTTTGCCTTAGGGAACTTAGGCATGCACGGACCAAAAAATGCAAATATTATCATTTTAAAAAGGTCAACTTTAAAAAAAAATTGCAAATATTTTAAAAATGATGCAAATGTCATTCATTTACATGTATAAAAGTTGCCAAAACCAAAAATCAATCGCATTCTTTAGAAATGAAATATAATAATGGGAGCAAGACCTTTTCCAAAGGACTAATCCCATTCATTTTATATACACTATTATGCCTATAAATTCAATCTTGTGTCAGTGAATACTAGTGATATTAAACGGCTCGTTTTGAGCCGATTTTTTAAAACGTCTAAATCAATATTTTAGCCAGAAAAATATTGCCTAAGCCTTGAGATTTCGATAATATATGTCTAAACTTTTGTTCATTCTATGAGCAAAATCTTGAGGAAATAGGCTCGAAACGAGCCGTTTAATAACACTAGTGAATACATGTGTGGCTACCATCCCTCATGATGTTTCTTTTTTGAATTTACAAACGATTCATATTTTTTTTCTCGTCAGTGGCTTACCAGAAATAGTATTTACAAGTTCAAGAAAATTTTGGATTAAAAAAAAATAGAAGCTCCTTA